TGAATGATAAATGTTTAGTTAGGGTTTGGTGGGTGTGGCCGTGGGTGAATGATGAAAGGTTTAAGTTGCTAGGGTTTGGTGGGTGTGGGCGTGGGTGAATGATAGAGGTTTAAGTTGCTTGAGTTTGGTGGGTGTGGCCGTGGGTGAATGATAAATGTTTAAGTTTGCTAGGGTTTGGTGGGTGTGTGGGTGAATGATGAGGTTCAAGTTGCTTGAGTTTGGTGGGTGTGGACGTGGTGAATGATAAAGGTTTAAGTTGCTTGAGTTTGGTGGGTGTGGGCGTGGGTGAATGATAGAGGTTTAAGTTGCTTGAGTTTGGTGGGTGTGGGTGAATGAAAAGGTTTAAGTTGCTGGAGTTTGGTGGGTGTAGGCTGGATGAATGATAGAGGTTTAAGTTGCTAGAGTTTGGTGGGTGTAGGCGTGGGTGAATGATAAGGGTTTAAGTTGCTTGAGTTTGGTGGGTGTGGGCGTGGATGAATGATAGAGGTTTAAGTTGCTAGAGTTTGGTGGGCGTGGGTGAATGATAAAGGTTGATTGCTAGAGTTTGGTGGTGTGGGCGTGGTGAATGATAAAGGTTTAAGTTGCTAGAGTTTGGTGGGTGTGGGTGTGGGTGAATGATAGAGGTTTAAGTTGCTGGAGTTTGGTGGGTGTGGGCGTGGGTGAATGATAAAGGTTTAAGTGCTTAGAGTTTGGTGGGTGTGGGCGTGGGTGAATGATAAAAGTTTAAGTTGCTAGGCTAGAGTTTGGTGGGCGTGGGTGAATGATAAAGATTTTAGTTGCGAGAGTTTGGTGGGTGTGGGCGTGGGTGAATGATAAAAGTTAAGTTGCTAGAGTTTGGTGGGTGTGGACTGGGTGAATGATAAAGGTTTAGGTTGCTAGGGTTGGTGGGCGTGGACGTGGGTGAATGATAAAGGTTTAAGTTGCTAGAGTTTGGTGGGTGTGGGCGTGGGTGAATAATAAGGTTTAAGTTGCTGGGGTTTGGTGGGTGTGGACGTGGGTGAATGATAAGGTTTAGGTTGCTAGGGTTTTGGTGGGCGTGGACGTGGGTGAATGATAAAGGTTTAAGTTGCTAGAGTTTGGTGGGTGTGGACGTGGTGAATGATAAAGGTTTAGGTTGCTAGGGTTTGGTGGGCGTGGACGTGGGTGAATGATAAGGTTTAAGTTCTAAGTTTGGTGGGTGTAGGCGTGGGTGAATGATAAAGGTTTAAGTTGGCAGGTTTGGTGGGTGTGGGCGTGGATGAATGATGAGGTTTAGTTGCTAGAGTTTGGTGGGCGTGGGTGAATGATAAAGGTTTAAGTTGCTAGAGTTTGGTGGGTGTGGGCGTGGGTGAATGATAAAGGTTTAAGTTGCTAGAGTTTGGTGGGTGTGGGTGTGGGTGAATGATAGAGGTTTAAGTTGCTGGGTTGGTGGGTGTGGGCGTGGGTGAATGATAAAGGTTTAAGTTGTAGGTTTGGTGGGTGTGGGCGTGGGTGAATGATAAAAGTTTAAGTTGCTAGGCTAGAGTTTGGTGGGCGTGGGTGAATGATAAAGATTTTAGTTGCGAGAGTTTGGTGGGTGTGGGCGTGGGTGAATGATAAAGTTTAAGTTGCTAGAGTTTGGTGGGTGTGGACGTGGGTGAATGATAAAGGTTTAGGTTGCTAGGGTTTGGTGGGCGTGGACGTGGGTGAATCGAGGTTTAGGTTGCTGAGGTTTGTGGGTGTGGGCGTGGGTGAATGATAAAGGTTTAAGTTGCTAGGGTTTGGTGGGTGTGGCCGTGGGTGAATGATGAAAGGTTTAAGTTGCTTGAGTTTGGTGGGTGTAGGCGTGGGTGAATGATAAAGGTTTAAGTTGCTTGAGTTTGGTGGGTGTGGCCGTGGGTGAATGATGATAAGGTTTAAGTTGCTGAGAGTTTGGTGGGTGTGGGCGTGGGTGAATGATAAAGTTTAAGTTGCTAGAGTTTGGTGGGTGTGGGCGTGGGTGAATGATAAAGATTTAAGTTGCTTGAGTTTGGTGGGTGTGGGCGTGAGTGAATGATAAAAGTTTAGTTGCTAGAGTTTGGTGGGTGTGGGCGTGGTGAATGATAAAGATTTAAGTTGCTAGAGTTTGGTGGGTGTGCGTGGGTGAATGATAAAGTTTAAGTTGCTAGAGTTTGGTGGGTGTGGGCGTGGGTGAATGATAAAATTTAAGTTGCTTGAGTTTGGTGGGTGTGGGCGTGGTGAATGATAAAATTTAAGTTGCTAGAGTTTGGTGGGTGTGGCCGTGGGTGAATGATAAAGTTTAAGTTGCTAGAGTTTGGTGGGTGTGGGCGTGGGTGAATGATAAAAGCAAGTTGCTAGAGTTTGGTGGGTGTGGGCGTGAGTGAATGATAAATTTTTAAGTTGCTAGGGTTTGGTGGGTGTGGCCGTGGGTGAATGATGAAGGTTTAAGTTGCTGGGGTTTGGTGGGTGTGGGCGTGGGTGAATGATAAAGGTTTAAGTATAGTCATTAATTACATAAATTACTCATTTTTTGCACTGACCAAGTTACCAACTTAGTTCTTTCGACAATGGATAATAATTTATCTCCATTGCCCAGGTTATGTATCTAAGCTACTGCGCCGGTAGCAACCCTGTATATAAGCTACTGTATGATAACATTATATATGTAATCACGTGGCAACACTGCACGTTATGTAGCAGCATTACTTCCAGGCTATATAATAAAACGATCTCAATCTGACTTCGTGGGCGTGCACTTCAGCTCACGCAGAGCCACCACTTATATTTCTCCTATCCTTTAATAAACGGACTTCAGTGTTCCCTGCCCATCACCATTCTTCAGGAACACTTGGAACCTCCATAACAGTGGTAGGATGTGTGGACTTAGAGATGTGTCAACAATGGACAGTTAGCGGCGATAATGCGCGTCGACTCATAGTGTGTTGTGTTGTGATTAGCAGCAGCGTGCAGTATTCGCGCCGTCACAGTGCATTGTAGTGACAGTGTTAGTGTCAGTGTATTAGTGTGTCTAGAGCTGAGAGTTGAAGAGCATTGGCCTGTTTTTGTGGTACCCACGAAACGCATGGCGTACACCCTTCTGCGTGTGACATCGGGGGAGCACTAGCGTTCTCACCCCCCGCGGTGTCTCTAGCCACCAACATAAGGCCACCACAGGCCATCTGCTGTCTCGGGCGAACACACCGCCTTAGCACTCCGCGAGGACAGAACAGTCAGACTCTGTCGTTATTTCTCGCTGTTTATGTCATATATATGTGGTTCGAGCTGTTGAGCGCCACTTTATATACTAAACAGTTCAGTCCACTCACACACTAAGATGGGCGGTAAGAAGGGACAACGTCAAGATGGGAGACACGACTCCCACCACCTCTCCCCCCTCCACCCGGGCGCAGACTCTCATCCTCCACCTCCAGTAGCCCGGATATTGCCTAATTCTGGGGTGGATGGGCGGCCCCGGAGACGGCCCGGCTTATAGAGATGGAATTTCAGAGGAGAATCTCTGAGGAGAAAAGCGCTTTGATGCAAAATTGGCGACCTGGCGCCACCCTCCCTCACTCGCGCACCAAGGCGCCAGTACCTCCTCCTCCACCACACCAAGCGTCCTTCAGATACTCTTGCTACTCCAGCAGCTCCCAAGGCATCCCTGTTCAACCCCACCTGCCCTCTCACAGACGTCCGCGTTCAGCTTTTCGTGAGTGGAGGCAGCGTTGGACAGATTACTCACGATGGTGGACTACCAGCCTCCCAAACAAACAGCTCATCCAACTGCGGATGTGTTTGTCGCTGGAGACCCAGGGATTTTGGTGCATACATGCAAGTGCCTCCCGATTCTACCTCTTCAGTGACAGATATACTTTCGACCTTTTACGAACCGTTAAAGGTCGGAATAACGAGGCTTCGTCCTTGGCCTTATTCACCAGCTACCAGTAGGCGGAGAACAAATCCTTTGACGACTTTTTGTACTCTTGAAGAGTTTGTCAGAGATCGCGTCTGCAAGCGCCTAACCCGGGAATGTGAGAAGCCTGGATCAAGCCTTGGGATCTTGACTGGAGTGTCAGGCAAGGAAGAGTTGGTGCAGCGACTCATCCCCTGGGCCTTCCTCCACACTCCAGGTAGTAGTGACTGAATGTCAGTCATCTGAGGCCACCAAGTCCGCCACCTCTGCCTACGGGCCTCCTACTGTGAGCAATCTCCCGGAAGAAATTACAAGAAGGAGAATGAAAGGCGGCCAGCAACTGCCGAAGGCTGCCTACGTTCTTCCCGCCTCGCCTAATTAGCTTCCTGTGGCAGCTGTGGAAGCTTAGCAGCCCAAGACATGCCCAGCCGCCGACGCCCTGTGTCGTGGATGTGACCATAAGGGGCCACTGGTCCTAACTAGACAGGTGCCCTGCGAGGGCCGCAAGTGTCAAGCCTGTGGTCGCTATGGACACTACAACAAGTGCTGCCGCCAACCCATGTACCCAAAAGCCGGGGCAGGGGAGGAAAGTAGCACTTCCTGGGGTGGTTCATGCAGCCCCCCTTCAGATATTACGCAGCCCCCAAGCAGCAGCTGAGTCACATCAGGAGGGTGGAAGATCGACCACGCCCCAGGGCTACCCTTCCCCTACCATCCATGATGGTAATGTGTGGTCACATCAGGTGATACGGACACCGGGCGCTGTCTCACGATGATTGGTTGAAGCACCTCCAGAAACTGGAGCCTCACCAAACGCCACCTGGACCACCGCTGCAGCTGCAGTATGTGCTACAATGCGGACGGTTCCCAGATGCCAGAGCAGCTTCAGAGCTCCTTTCCAGCGGATATCACCCCTCGTGACAGATGCGTGTCATGGAGTGGATCGGCGTGCAGCCTACTCTGCAGCTACACCCTTGTTATGCGTGGGAAGCACTGCAAGAGTTAGGCGTGGTGCCCAGAGACTTTCCGAGCAGACCCAGCTGCCGATACACCTCCAGCAGGGTGCGTGAATCAACAGCAACAACACCTGCTTATGCCTGGCTTCTTAGGAACCTGCCGTCCATCTTACCCCAGGACGCTCCCACCCAGATCCTGTATGGTCACCCTCTCGCTCTTGCCCGTTCCTGCACACATAAGGCCTTTCTTGAAGGTGGCAGACCAGAGCCGAGTTGCGACCATGGCCTTCACGTGCCCAGGACGCCAGGCTCATTATGGCGACCGTGCCGCCCTCTTCTAAGCCAGTGGAGGTCAGGGTGCCTGTCCGCGTCCAGGACCCGACGACGACACGTTGGGACAAGGTGGAGCTGGTGATGGGCGTGGCGGTCGCTTGGACTAAGGTCAGGATGCCCGGCGCGTCTGGTGGAGGAACCGCGCTTCCTCCGGCCAGTCCCACCCCTGCTGTTGGCCCCCTGACCGAGGGCCAGTCACCTACACCTCCGAGGATCAAGTCCCACAGTGCACCTCGGCCTTCCCGGGCTGACTTAGGACTAAGAGAGAATCCGCTCAAGACAAGACTATGAGCGTGAGGGGGAAGGAGATGTGGGTTATGTATCCTAGCTACTGTGCGATAGCAACCCTGTATATAAGCTACTGTGCCGAGTAGCAACCCTGTATATAAGCTACTGTGTGAGTAGCATTTATATATATAATCACGTGGCAACACTGCGTTATGTGGCAGCATTGCCCCAGGCTGCCATATGGCAAGGCAGTCTCAGTCTCTGACTTCGTGGGCGTGCATGGCACCGCATGAAGTCCACCACTTGTATTTCTCCTATCCTTTAATAAAGCGGACTGGTGTTGCAGTGTTTACCCATCGCTGCATTCTTCAGGGAACACTTGGAACCTCCATCCATATTATAATTTCTTCTCTATATCCTTAGTTATCTTAAATTCCCCATTTTTTCCCTGAATGTTTTTTATGTAAAATTTATCTTTTCAATTTCCTTTTCAGTTTTTCTTGACATTTATAATTAGTTTCTCCGATAATTACCTGGGGTGGGCGGAGCTGTCCATGAGGGTCCTTCACCTGGGGTGGAGCCGGTGGACTGTAAAGTAGTCCTTGTTAGGGGATGAGGATGATGTTGTCTGCTCTCCAGCATGAGAGGATCCCCCAAAAAATATTTAAGCAAAGCAACTAGAAATGAATAGTCAGATAATATTACAAAATAGCCTTTATTTCTACTTTCCACATTATATCATAATTTCCAGAAAAAATAAAAATATACAAAGAAACATACCACCGAACCTACCTTGGTTCTCATGGTATTTTTTTTTTTTGCTCCATCTTCCTCTTCGTATGTTTTCTTTTCTCGGTCGCCTGACAAATACTTTCGCTTGGACGTCATTGAAATCTATAGAGAGTGGTATGATGTTATCGCTCTCAGTCTTACTCAGTGTGATTGAGTCAGTAACCACTCCACTGTAACCTCGACGGCTCGACACGACTGAAGAGTGAGTTGGAAGAGAGCAGAGACCAGTGAACAAGAGACCCATCGGGATCAAACCTGCAGTGTTCCTGTCCTGGGTACTGCATTTGATCGCTGACTGTGGCTTCATATTCCATCTCATCCGATTGAAATATTCTTCACCTGTAAAAACTCAAAATAAAATAAAACGGCCTTAAGCCTGTGTGTCGGTGGATGGGCCCAAGGAGTTGGTGTCCCGGTGTCCGACGTTGTGACGGTGGTGTCGTGTGTGTGTGATGAACTGAAGTGGGATAGTGCGTAGTTTAAATATGTCGGAAATAAACTACACCAGCAGAACAAAAATTAATTACATTGTATGGAAAATATCAAAAAGCAATAATAATTATGTATTGTAATGCTTTATAAGTTCAAATTTTTATTATAAAGGTTCCTAACTTGGCAGATAGCAGAAAAATTCACATCCAGCCAGCCGCAGAGATTTTGAACTAAATTCCTGAAGGAAGCATCAGGGTCCCTTATGGGCTCGGGGCCCTAGGCGGCTGCCTAGTCCGCCAATGCCTCGAGCCGGCCTTTAAAGGGCGGTAAGTGTAGTGTCTGCGTGAGTTGCGACGGCCAAGCAGACGGAACAATCTCCTCTTATCCCAATAGTCGCAAGTTCACGCCTCAGGTTTCCAAGTCCACTCAACTGTGATTGCTTACTTGCCTTAACAGTTAGGGAAATGAAGGTGGTCGAGTGCAGTCAGGGATGGTCCGATGGGGGGTGTCACCCCAATGATTTGTCTCCCTCCCCAATGATTGGTCTCCCAATGATTGGTCTCGAGTTGGTCAAATTGCCAGAAGTTGGTCACAATAATGTCAAAGGTTCAGGGAGATTGGTCAAGAAAGGACACACACACACACTGATAGCAAGAGGTAACACAGTTGATCGTGTTTTGAACGGTTATGCCAGATGTAAGATAAAGAAATAAAGAAATTTGAACGCGAATTAGTGAACTATGACAAGCTGTTTCAGAAAGTAAAAATGACACACATACCATTAGGTTTTAAACCTATGATAGTGCAGCAACAATGTCCACAAAGTACAATGGTGCTCAAAAGAAATTATATGATATTTTGTACATTCCCTGTCTACCTCTTGGCTCTAACTTAGTGATTGAGCATGGCTGCAATGCAAGTGAACTAATTACACATATGTATGATGTACTGGAATCTTGCTATGTATTTTTAGCACAAATTGAAGGAGTATTGCAAGTAAAAAAAAATCTGCTACAGACAAGATGGAGTGCCAGGCCAGAGTCAGTAGATGCCTTTTGTAAATCTTATGAAGAGGAATGTGAATTTTTGGAAGAAATCAGAATGCCAAGAAGAAATATGATTCAGATGCAAGGACAAAAAGCAATGTCTCCTCTACAAAAATAAGACTTGATTTTATCGTTGCTTTGATATTCATGAAAAATATTATGTACAAAACTAAGCACATGGTAGATGTGGTGCAAACTGAGGATTTAGATGTTTCTGGAGCTTTTATCTCTATGAAAAGTACACCCACTAAAACATTATTCGGCACCCGTGTCATATTGTATCACGCCATAGGGTGCCGAATAATTTTTATTAGATTAACCACGATGTATTGAA